ATGTTCAACTCCGTTGTCTTGTAATTTTGAAACCAATATTCTTATATTCTTCAATATAAATATTTATACTGATAGGCTTATACATTTTTAAAACAAGTTTTAAAAAATTACAATAATTATATTTTTAAACTTAATTAAATTTATTGATTTTTAAATAATTCCAATGACTCTATCATCAGTACTAATATCTTCAAACGACTTAGAAATTAAAAACAATTTAATCTATTTTAAAGGAAACTATAAGCTCATAAATATTGAGAAAGATTTTCTTCATTATCGATCATCAAATATAACTCTTCAACAAATATGACACTAATGCTTAATGCATTATATAATCTTTAAAAGTTTACATTTGATTAAAAATTATGCTTTAAATGTAACATAATATTTAAATTTTCCATTTAAATATTTTAAACTTAACAGATTGATACAATTCTTAACTCAATTTATTTCATTAATTTTTTAATAATGTACTATAAGCATTTAAATCACACAGTATGTATAAGTACAGACGTGGAAAGTAAAAGATAACATTTATGATATTAATAATCGTAAATTTTTTTTATTAAATTTAATATTTAGCATCCGATATTTAATTTTTAAAATGTAAACTCACAAAAAATTAATATTTAGAATTTCAATTTTGAAATTCAAAACAATTTAATTGAATGCTCGACTCATTAAAGTACAATGCAATACCTAACTCACCGAACATGCTAGTAAAGTTTAAGTAATCCATTAAATATGTAATTTATTAATTGTGAGTAATACATTAAATATATTTATAAATTTTGAGTAGTACAATAAACGTATTTATAAAAATAGAGTCATTAATTAAATATGTTTGTTTATTAATTCTGAGTTATTCATACTCATTAATTCTGACTTCTGAACTTTGAGAGATTCCTTAAATTAACTAAATATGCTTAGAAATATCAATTTTTAATACAAAAAACATCAATTATGACTAGTAATTATGATATCATATTCATCCCATAAAATTTAGCTTCTCTTAAAAAAAAAATTACAGAAGACAGTTAAAAATCCTTATCTGACTTACGGATTAATTGCACTAAATGTATACTTATTTTTATTACATAAATTTGTATATTATGCTATGCATTATTATCACACAGAAACTGTGTTTTTAAATTAAAATTTATAAAGACTGTTTTTAAGTTTTCTTTACTTTTAAATTTTTTCAGTGTAAGCATTTAGCAAAGGTTAGATTAAAAAAAGACTGATTAAAAAAAAATAATTTTTCGTAATGTAAAAAAATACACAAAAATTTTATTTTTTGTTCATTTATTTAAAAATTTATACTTAGTAATTAGAGTTGCAACTGCCCGGTGGCTGAGCGGTAGCGCTTCGCGCTGTCGTGCCACAGGTCCTTGGTTCGATCCTTGGGCCGGGCAAGGCCGACTCAGCCTTTCATCCCTTCAGTGGGTCGATAAAATGAGTACCAAGCATGCTTGGGAACTAACACTCGGGGTTCCGCGTTCGGCAGACCACCTGACCGGAACATATGCTCCTGCACCCCAGAGCCCAAGGTCAAGAAAACTGAGATGGGCACAGTCGGCCTTGGCCCTCGTAATGGGCTGTCGCGCCACTGAGTTAGTTAGTTTTTAATTAGAGTTGCAGGAATATTTTTTAGCATCAAATAATTTTAGATTTTAAAATTTTTTGCCACGGTGAAATGTATCACAAAATTTTACGATTTTTTTTTCTTTTATCGAAAGGTTTTCAGAATAGTGTTTTTTAGTAATACTTTCTAAGAAATTCGGTGTTAATGAACTTAATACTAAAAAATATTTACTTTTTGTACTATCTTGAAAATTAAATTAAAATGTACTGAATGATTCATAAATATAAAGACATAACCTAAAAATGAAATATGTTACTTTAGTTAAACAACTCACGAAGAAACAATCTAATAAAACTGTATAGTTTTGAAATTTCTGGTTGAAAAAAAGCTGTGATTCTGGAAATAAAAACCAAAATATGCAGTATTTAAATTTATAATTTGGTGATTTTTCTGCTCTTGTGGTAACAGTTTAGCAGAAACTCTGGTTTTCAAAGTTCTGGTTCTGAAAATTATTTCATTTAGTAAAAAATACAAAATTATAACCTAAATTTAACGGAATAAATGCCTCGTATGTCATGCTCTAAGATATCAGCTCCATTTTTTTCCTACTATGGAACTATGGAATTTACATAATGGTAATTCGTATGCAATCGTATCTTGTTAAATCGAAAAATTGAGGATGAGGAAAATTTTTTATTACAAATTATGAAAAATATACTAATTCTAGCTAAAACAAATAATTCAAAACTATTTTTAAACACCTAAATGAAAAAAGAATAGATTTAATTTATAAACGTGTTCGAAAAAGAAGCAAATCAATTTCATAAACAAAAATTTCATTTCACCTGCGAAATCTGTTAATTTATTTTCGTATAAAAACAATAACTACTCATCTCAAGTAACAGCGTCGTCTTTGAAATGTATTTTCATAAAAATAAGTTGAACCATAGTGTGAAGTTACTATGGCACCATATTAAGGAGCAATATGATGGTTCAGCTCCTAATTTTCTAAACGCGCATAAAGCAACATTTATGTGTAAGTTATTTATAGAATATAATATTTTTACAATTCTACAAGTTTTTCAAATACCTCTTTAAAAGCGAAATGCTGAAATATATTCTAAAGATCCAAATTTTTAAATATCTAGTTTTTTGTTTTGTTCGGATTTTAACAAAATATATTGTAATTGGGAAATAAAGGATTAAATTTTTCATTTGGTTCAATTTCTATTTATTATTAATCGAAATTAATTATCGATTTATTCATTAGTTTCAATTTCGAACGCGTCCAGAAAGACTATTTTTCTTCTGATTTTATGCTTCTTTTTGGAACACGAAGGTTTTTTGAACAGGTGTTTCTAAAACCTATGAACAGTGCAAGCTTAAATCATAATGTAAATTAAATATAGTTTGTATATCTGCATCTCACATTTTAATTTTTAAATGTCATTTGCGTTATAGCAATCGTATTTTGTCATTCAAAAATCGTTTGCATTACATAATTTCGTTCTTTATAATTTAAACATTGAAATATTAAACTATCAAATTATCTGTAATAATAAATGCAAAAATGTATATAGCGGTAATACAATTATCATAATCGTCTAAAAAATTTTAATCCCGAAAAAGATATAAAGTGACGACACCTGAAAATATTTCTTTCAAAATTACGTGCGTAAATAAAAACCTGAATCTGAAAATCATTTTTAAAAATATTTCAAGAGTTCGAACTTCTCTAATCTCATGTTTAAATTGATGTGAAATTTAAATAAAAGAGTATCATTGTGAAAAACCAAAAATTTGCATCCAAGGATTCATTTGATGCTACATTTATCATCTTTCAACTTCCAAGACTTCAGAAAAAACAGTATTTTTCTCCTGATCTTGAGCTTCCTTTTGGAACAACGATGCTTTTGAACAGGTGTTTCTCAAACCTACAAGCGGCGCAAGCTGAAAACATTATAGAAGACACATCTATTTTCGAATGTTTTCGATTACGTAAAAAAATACACAACGCCTCAAAGAACACAGCGGTTAAAAGAACAAAAAGATAAGATATAATAGGAATTGTCAAGATAAAATTAAACGAGATGGTAAAAAAAATAGAAGAAAAAAAGACCTTTGTGCCAAGTGGAGGAGGAAATAAAATAAAAATAATGAAATCAACTGCGCAGTGCTGCAGCGTTTGGCATCTTGTTCTTGACAGGCCGCCATTATCCAACCCGTCTCCGATGTCTGTTGTTTCTGACGTCATAGCCACTTCGGGTGAGTTCGGCTTCGCTCGTTGACCAAATATGGTCATGAAAATGCCGAACCATCGCTAATGAGCTTCGGAATTATTCATGAACCCGAGCGAGACCTTGGAGCCCTTGGCAGAGCGCGAGGAGAGAGACTGCTTGTGTTATATGGATGGGGAAGAACGAAGAGAGTGGAACGGAGGGATTTCGGAAATTAAAGCATCGCCTGGGTTTTTCTTGCATTTCTGAAAACGATGTTGTTGCTGAAAATAGGTCTGAATCCCTCAAAAAATGCGCAGAGATTTGTGCTGAATGTTTTGCTCTGCGGCATCCTCCACCCTGCCAGTGATGCTCATTTGCGCTCAGGTAGTATCTCATTTTCTGTGGCTTAAGAATAGGTTTCTTATCATTTGCATCATTGCATCTGTTTAATCATCGATAATGTTTACATGCAGTCCAATGCATTTAAAAATGTTTGATTAAATATTTTTTTGTAAATTTCTTCAAGTTAACTAGAAGGATCTGCTCCCGATGCTTTCTTGGCTGCAAAACATACATCCGTCCCAGCATTTAACTTCTATTAAGTGAATATAAATTTTTTGAGCTTACATTTGAGAAGCTGAAGATTTAAAGAAGGGAAAAAAACTTATCAATCAGAATTGAATGCATTGAAATTTTTTTATCTATTTTCTAAGTAAGAATGTTGTTTACATGAAAAGAAATTCGCATTTATTCTTTGTTAAGATTGGAAGTTTCGATTATGAACTTTTTTGTACATCTTTGTTGCCAGAAGATTTAAACCATTTTACCAATTTTTACCAACGTTTACAATTTTCCGAATTATATTCCTAAAAGTTGTTTTTGAATCTATTCACCCGTGCCATATATGAATTAGAAGCCTTTTGATACGGCTGCCTCTGTTATTATAAACATCAACGACTCTCAAAAACATGCCTTCTCGAAATTCCACCATGTGTTCAAATACATACAACGTTGAAAAAGTGTAATTAAATTTATAAATGTGAAAACTCTTTTGTGATTAGTTTAAAAATCGTTTGTATTTTGAGAATATTGCATTTCTTGTTTTGTAAATTAAATACCATTTGCATTGTTGCATTTTGTATTTTAAAATTTAAATATCGTTTGAATAATTGATTTTCGTATTTTCCCATTTAAAAGTCGTTTGAATTATTGTAATTCAAATATTTTTATAATTTAAATATCGTTGTATTAAATGATTTGATTTAATAAATGCCAAAAAATATATGCAACAGTGATAAAAATATCAGAGTTGTCTTTGAATGTGTGGATTCCTAGATGCGAAAATATGAGCTAATTCCTTCGAAAGGGAAAGTTGTTCAATAGGTTTTGTTGACAAAACAAAATTATCAGGACCGAAGATCTCTATGTTAAAAGAGGAGTAAACCTTGACCCACGATGCTGTAGTCAGTTTGCCGGTTACGAACAGGTTACTTTTTTCTGAGTCAGCTAAAGTGGAAAGTAGAAATGAGAATATATAAACAAACCACCCGAATCATGCTCCCATTTTAGAAATAAACTCAGAAAAGTACAGTTGTGGTGAAAGTGTTGCATAAAAAAAAAGGGAAAAAAACAAACAAAAGCAATAACATAACTGAAAACTTACAATCAGCAAAACGAAAAAAAAAAAAAAAATTNACAAAAAAAAAAAAAAAATACGAGATTGAATGAACGCATAGCATTCTGACGTCACTACTACGTCAAGACGATCTGGCCATTCGATTGGCTTGAGACAAGGTTCCGGCTCGCCAAATATGGAAGTGCTCACGGAAGCGGCCTTCATTCAGAACCGCTGTGTATAAAGAGTACAGGTTGAATGATTCTACGCGCATTTGACGTCGCGCGCTCGGACTTGATGGTGATATGAGACAGTGAAGTCGAAAAGTGTCATCAAAACAAATCTATAGTCATTACTCTTACTTAATACCAGTGTTTGGCCTTGAATTAGTTTATTTTTGTTTATATTTACCAATCAGGACACAGTGTCCGACTCTCAGCAACCAGTGACTTCGGACACGGGGTCCAGTATGATTATGGACACTCTGTCATCAGTGCTCGCGGGGGTGCCCTTGGACACTGGGCCCAGTACCTTCAGCCTCAGTTTTGATACTTTCAAACTTGGGGGTGATGTGGACGATGGCTCAAAACCCCTCGCTCCCCAGCATCCGTATCCCACAGTGGACGTTCGACTTGTGAATCCAACAGTCCGAATCAAAAAAGAAGACCAAGAGGAAGGGATGGAAGAAGATGATACCTTAAATACTCCTGTGTCGACTAGTGCCGATGTTAGTACTTTCTTCTGTACGGATACCACAATTTCGGACCCTGTACCTATAACAGGTGAGTCTTTTTTTTTTTATTGGTTATTTGTGGACTTACTCTAGTATCTCTCTCATATGGCGCTCTAAAGGGAGAAGGTCAGGCGGCAGTGACTGTTTGACATTTCGATAAGTTTTATCAATGGCTGTAATTTATGTTCTTTTATGACACCTTGTAGAAAACTTTAAAAGATTTAAATATATATATATTTTTTTTAAATTTACTTTACGATTTAAATTATTTTAACGGAAGAATTAATTAAAGTTTTTTAAGGTCACTGTCTTTAATTGAATTTAACTTATAAATGAATGTCATGAGAGAGATTCTGAGTTTGAGAAATTAATAAATTTACATAATTAATTAAATATTTGTTTATTGTTTCAACTTTAAATAACGAATGATAATTCAATAAATGATAAAAATTTCTCATTAATTGAATGTTAATGATCTGAGTGTTTTCATTATATAATAATTCGATATATTGAAGTTATATTAATGAATAATCATTCAATAATATTAAATTAATTAGAATTTGTCTAATTATTATTATGTTTATTCCGGGTCATTATCTTTGTTTCAACTTGACTTTTAAATTAATGTTATGAATTTAAGAAATTATATCATATATTTAATTAATTAATTTTTGTTTATTTTTTAATTGATTTTCAGTAATGAATGATTATCCAATTAATGATTTTAAGAATTTATCATAGCATGAATTATTATTCTCTTACATTTTTTTTCATTATGTGTTATTAATTATCAAATTTTTATTAATAAATTACCATAAAATAATGAAATTGATTTAGAGTTAAAGTATTTTTACTTAAACTTCGATTCATTATCTTTAATTTAATTTGAATTTATGGTTATGAGAGATATTATTAGTTTAAGAAGATAAATATTTTTTAACTAATTAAATGTTAGTTTATTTTTCAATTGTCTTTTACTGATAAATGATAATTCAATAAATATTTTATTAATTTAACTTTAAATGAATTATCACTATCATACTTTCTTCTTTAGATAGTATTGGATTATAAAAATATTATAAACTATCAATTAAATTACAAAGTTAGTTTGAATTGAACAATAAAACTAATTTTAATTAAATAGTATAATTGATAATAATTAAATTATAAAATTTAATGCTTTTTTGTATTAATACGTAATAATGAATGATAATTCAAAAACTATAAGAAAAATTTCATTAATTGAATTAATTTTTTCAGTATTTCGTTTATTGATAATTAGATATTGAAGTTTTAATAATGACTATCTATTAAAAAGTAAAATTTTTTCGAATTTATCTACCTTTTTTTCTGAATAATCTATAATTAATCTCTCGATAAATTTTACTTTTCAACAAATTTTACTTATTATGAGATAGATTCAGAATTTGAGAAATTAATAACTTAATTAATTGAAATATTTAATTGATAGGAATAATTGTTTGTTTATTTTATTATGTTAATTTTTTCAAATAATGAAAGATAATTCCAAATATGATATTAGGTATTAATCATTAATAAATTATTACCGTTACATTGAGTATTATCTTGATCATTATTTAGAAATAATCGAAGATTATCATTTAAGATAACCGATAAGAATTACCAAATTGATAACCATTATTATGTAGTTCTATCTATAGTTATTAATTAAAGAATAAAAACATAAAATATATTTATTTTTTATTCCCAATAAAAAAAAATTACATATTATTTTATCACTAATAATGTATATGATTTATTTTATATTCTGAATATAAATAAAGATGAAGCTATCAAATAGTTAGAATATTTAAAAATGGACAGTTCAATAGAAGGCTTAGATTTAATCAAAATTTGATTTTATTAAACCTAGTTGCTCTTCGGTTTTTTATATTGTTTACATATTAACTTAAATGATATCTGTTTCCTTATTAAATTAATGTACTATAATAATTTACATTCTAAAATATAGATATGAACAATTATCTTCATTCTTTGCACCCCACTTCATAAATACTTTTTTTTCTCCACGTAAAAAATAAATTGTGTAACTTAACAATATTATTTAATTGACATTGAATTTTATTTAACTTTCCTTTATTTATTTAATTGTAATCATATTCAAACAATATTTCATGTTATATATTTTAAAAATTACTTTTAAGAATAACTAAATATTAACATTAATCAATTTTAAATTTGAATTTGTACTTTGGAGACTATCTAAATATTTTACTTTTTATAATCCTAATAAAATTTAAAAGTGTGAATAACTAAAAACATTAGTTTGAATGATGCTTAAAAATGATAGTTGTAAATTTATGAAATAAAGATGTATTTCTATTATTGATATTTAAAAAAAGTTTTAATATTTTTTGAGGTTATTAATTCTGGATTAATTTAGCTTATTCTAAACCCTTTAGATATGAATTATTCAACTCATTTATAATACCCAACGTACCAATATTTTAACAAAATTGCTTTCATTTATGTTGTTGGATTTATAAACGTTTCATACTAGTTTTAAAAGAAAAAGTTTACAAAGAATAATTTTTATTAAACTCAAAGACTATTTTTGTTTATATATTATGTATTTTATGCATTGCGTTTGAATACCTCACTCTTATATTACACTCTTGCTATTTTTATAAAAATGTACTGATTTGAGATAAATATATTAATTAGTTTATCTCGCAAAATTTACTCTGATAGATTCAAAAGAGATGTTGAAATTACATTTCTTCTTCTTATTTAAGATAAATATATTTACAGTTTATTTCTTTGCATTTAATGAAATAAATTTCGAACACTTTGATATATTGAACTTAAGTATTATAAAATAGAGGATTTTAATTAGTTATAATTCATACAATGTTTTGATTTTAGTATTTTTAAATTAATAAAAATCTAAAAATACTTAAATTAAAATACTTAAAATAGTTACTTATACTTTTCGTTAAAATAAAAAGAAGCTAATAATATTAAGAAACTATTACTAAGATGACTAGTTTTTTTCATGATAATAATTATCTGGCTAAACTTACAAGAAAATCATTAATAATATATCAAATAAGTAATTCCCCTGATTTTTTTTAGTGAATTACATAACATCCTTTCAGATCAGGGTTGGCAGGTTTTTGACATGTGACAGTTTTTGACAGTTTAAACCATGGTTTAAACCGTCACGTCAAAAACCTCACTGTCGAAAATGTCAAAAACCTATATTTGAGAAATTTAATTAATACATAAAATTTATATGTTTTTTAAAGGATAGTGTTTCTAAATATGTTCTAGAAAAAATAAATTTTAAATTTTGAAGAAACACTTATATTTTGAATAGTAACCAAAATCTTGTACTTTTGAAAGCTCACATCTTTNAACTTCAGTTTTTGACATTTTTGACGGGTTTTTGACGGTTTAAACCAGTATTATACCCATGTCATGTCAAAAACCACTTTTTGACGTCAAAAACCCAACCCTGTTTCAGATATTTCAATCTTTGCTTCATTTTCTTTGCTGATGAAATAAAAATTATTATCATTAATTATTTCTAATAAACAAATAAAAATTATTAAAAGAAAAAAATTATTTTAAAGATCTGTAAGATATGTAATAGTAAATTTTATGTTTTAGTAAGCATTATACTTAATAATTAGCCCATATTATAAAATATTATAATAAACCTTCTAACTGTATATTTTAGTTTTTTTTTTTAAATATTCAGTTATCTAAAATTCAATAATTTAATATATTCTTGAATTCAATGTCTCACAAATTCAGAATTTTATAAATATTTACAAAATTATTAAACTTATTATTTTTCTTCGTCTTTTTCCACGTTATTATCAAACTCAAACCGCAAACTGACACATTTTTTTTCTCCTGGACTGAGCTACACAATAATTGGATCTGAAAAATGAATGCCAAGTCTTTCACAGTTGGCTTTCTCAAGTGTTCTTACCAAGTCAACGCCCTGCTGGGCTACTGTTTTTGGAGCCAAAAGTCTCACATTTTGGGGAGCATAATTAAATATAACACGGCGTTACTTTTTCATGTACTTCTACTAGCGAAACGCAACCCCAAGACTGCTCTTAGTGTTCTTATCGTCCTCATAGCTAAAAATAAATAATCGCGGAAATGTTCTTAAAAACAGTGGAATTTTTCTCACCCATAAACCTCTACTCTCTGAAAGTAGGATTATGTTAGAGGGATATTATTCCCCTTCTTCTTGCTAAATTCTAAAAACGATTTTTTTCGCGATGATCAATAACAGTTTAGAATGCTTAATAATTTTGATCATTTTTTTAAACTCAAAGAATTGATGATGTTTTAAGTAAGTTTCTATAAATTACTCATTTGAATTTTTTTTTGATTAAAAGGTTACTGCCATTATTACAAAGTATGTGTTTTATTGCAAAAAGTTATTTTATTGTATTGGTTTTTGGATTAGACAATTTTAAACTAACAATTATTTTAGATTTTGTGGTATTCAAGCCTTTCTTTATATTTTATTTTGAATTATTCATAAGGTTATGACTTTTTTGTTGAAGTATAATCTAACTACTAATCTACTTTAATTTTTCCAGAAATGTTCAATGTTCTTAAATTTAATATTTTACTTTATTTCATCCTTTAACTCCATGTACCACTTTATTTAATTTTTAAATTCAATATTCTACCTTGTTCTTCAATTAAATGTTCAACTTTATTCTATTCCCTTAACTCTATCTTTGACATTATTCTATTCCTAATTTCAATATTCTACCCTTTTCTTGAATTCTATGGCTTCCTCTATGATTTAATTCAATTTTTTTTGCAAATTTTCAATAATATGTTAGAATTAAGACAGAATATCAAAATTGTGCTATAATAATGTAAAACCTCTTTTGGTATATCGTAACGTAATGTATTCAAAAAGAAGCGTTTGGAACTAAAAATTAGAAAACGATTAAGAAAATTTAACATATTTCAAATCGTTTGATCAAGCAACTGTTCTTAAAGATCTTAGTTGATTCTTGAAACAATTTA